TTCCCTCCCTCCATTCCCCCCCGTGTTCACTGAGCCCGTCCCCCTCCCCCCTCCCTCCCCCGCCCCCCCTCCCTACCTCCCAACTGCAGGGAAGGATTGCTGAAAACAAGCAGGAAAGGGGGATGAAGGAGGGGGGAGGGAAGGGAATGAGAGTGAGGGAGATAACATGGACGCCCAAAGGCCGAACCACAATAAAACACATTGGGCTGGCTCGGGGACCTCCTGAGCCTTGGGCCCCCTTTGGCCTCCCTGGGGCGTCTCTAGTATAGCGAGGCCACTTGGCTGACAGCATCTTGGCTCAAAATGCATGTCGGATTCATTCATGCTGGCTCAAGGCATTCACTTCTTCATGCGCTACCGCTGCGAAGCCTGGGTCTAGACAGGCCCCACAACGAGGATAGATGGCCCAAACCTTCGGGCCCCACATGCCCTGAACACTAGACTGCTTTACACATCAGGAGACCATACAAACAAGAAGCTCCGCTGTGAAACGGAACTGCTCTGCAACTTCTTTGCGACAACTACGACATGCGAAAACATAAGGTCATACGTTAACGGGATGTCAAACGAAACCCCAACTTTGACACGAAACCGTCCTAACATATGTAACTGTTGCCCACGTTTAGATTTACGGCCATGCACTACGACAAAGCCCGAAACAATAGCCAACTTTGGCAATGAGCCGCTTTCAATAGGTGCAACTGCTACATGCGTGGCCCTGGCTCAGCGAAGCTCCAGTCAACAAGTCAGTTTGAAGAAGAGCCATCCTCAATGCCTCTGGCTGGTTCACGCTGTTGAGGCGAAGGTGCTCGGCGCTGAGGCGAGAACACATGTTTGAAAACGGCCAGTCCCCCTTTCCCTGGGGCTACTTGCTGCAGCCTCATTTTGAAACTGCGCCGTCCTCCATCATGAAGCTGTTGCAAGCTTTTATCGCTGGCGAGCGAGGGGGGAAATGAGAAGGACAAGGCCTTCTCGGAAGGCGGCGGGACTTCTCAGACGCCATCGTGCCTTCTGAAATGTCTCCGGGGAAGGCTTAGAAAACTTCTTTGGAGGCCAGTGGACTTCCGAACCTTCTGAGAAGGCCTTCTCCTTCTCACGTCCCCCCCTCCTCGCTCGCCGCCAAATATAAGTCGACTGTGTGCGGCGCTATGGCGAGAGATCCCTTTTGAAAACGGCCCGTCGTCCACCCTTGACGCGGATGCAAGTTTTCAAAGGCGAAGGTGCGTGGCGCCGAGGCGGCGGGATCCCTTTTCTGAAAACGGCCCGCCCTCAGCACTTGGAATGCTGCCGCACACCTCTGCGCGGAATGTCGGTCGCGCGGCGCTGGGGCGAGAGCCCTGTTTGGAGACTGAGCAGCGCTCCGTCTTCCCCCAAGCTGCGGCACCTTTCAAGCTCAGGGTCATACGCGCCGAGGAAGTCTCCGGCGGAACGCGCGTCCCGCCCTACCGACACGCCTTGGTGCCGCGACATCCTGGAAGTGCATGGAGCTATCTGGAAGGAACAAGGGAAGCAGCGGAACAGAGTGGGGCGGGGGGGGGATGAGAAGGAGGAGGCAAAGAGGTGGTAGGATGGGATTGATGGAGGTAGGGAAGGGGGGAGGAGCAGGGTAGGATGACGAGGCATGGAGGGAGGGAAGGAGCAATGATGAACAGAGAGTGGGGAAGGCGGTGGAGGCAGAGACTGGATGGAAGAGATGGGGGAGTAGATAGGGAGGAAGGAAGGATACACACATATACATACACACATATACATATTTATATATATATATACATGCACACACAAGAATGCGTTGGCGCTTCGCGCCACGCACCTTGGTCCTTGAAGTTTGGCATGCAGGCAGAAGTCGCGGCGGAAGGGCAGGAAGATAAAGCATACAAAATGGCGATAACTCCTCGTCGTCTTGACCGATTGGTCCTCATACGGTCAAAATAATGCCATTCGTTATCCTTCCCTAAATGTGTCCTCTTCCCCTTCTTCGTTCTGAGGTCCACGAAGGAAATGGTGACCGCCCCTCGTGGTGATCCCCCTTGCCATTGCCCGATCCTCCTACTCTCTCCTCCTCCTCCTCCTCCTTCTCCTTCTCCTCGTCTTCATGCTCCTCATCCTCCTCGAGGCCTCATCTTATCCACGGCGCAAGCCCCTCCTCCTCCTCCTCCTCCTCATCATCATCATCGTCGTCATTATCATCATCGTCATCATCATCATCATCAGCAGCAGCAGCATCATCATCATCCTCATCCTCCTCCCTTTCCTCCTCCTCCTCCTCCTCCTCCTCCTTCCCACGTGCCTGGAGGGAACGTCGCAAACCTGGGATTCGGACGTATTTTGTGGAAATGCTGGACGAGGGCGCCAATGCGGGGTCGTACGTCAAAGGCCTCTTCGATGTGTTTGGGTCTGTGGGGAGGCGCCTCGGGGTCGTCGCGAAACAATGCTGCTGGTTTGGGAGATAACTTGGAACCCCTTTTGGTTGATGTTCAGTCTTATTGGGGACCTCGTGAACCCTGGTTGGGGCGTTTGGGCGCCTGTTGGCAGTTTCGTGGGTCATTTGGGGCCGGAGGGCTGGTGGCGGTCTGAACGTCCGTCTTGAGGCCTTCTTCGGGGATCGTGGGGGCATCTTCGCCCATCTTGGAGCCTTCTCGGGCAGTCATGGGTTGTCCTGGGGCGATGTTGGGGGCCTGTTGGGCCTTCTTGGGGCGTCGGTAGGTCGAAAAAACGATAATGCCCAAATAATGCAAAAACCTATAGGAAACGCACAGGTTTGGGATTCGGAGGCCCACTTGGGGGTTCCTCTTGGAGCTCTTTGGGGCGTTTGGAAGGTTTCTTGGGCCATCAGGGGGCCATGTTGGACCCTCTTGGGGCTACCGCCGGCTCGTTTGCACGACTTGGTAGGGACTTCCAGAAGCCCGGAGGTCTCATGGGACCCTTGGCAGGGGCGTCCAGGAGCCCCAGAAGCCAAGGATTCCGGCAGGTCCGGCCTGGAAGGGGGGGGGGTGTCCCACCCTCCCACGATTGTAAACATATAGGAAAGGAAATAAGGTAGAGATAGAGATCAGGCAGCGTAGGAGGACGGCAACAGCGAGTGCGAGGATGAGGGGGGGGGGGTCCCACCCTCCCACGATTGTAAACATATAGGAAAGGAAATAAGGTAGAGATAGAGATCAGGCAGCGTAGGAGGACGGCAACAGCGAGTGCGAGGATGCGAACATGATATGCTGGAAACGGTGTAGGGAGGAGAGGAGGATGAGAAGGAGGAGGACGAGGACGAAGGGGAAGTGGATGAATAGCTGAAGGGGTGATGGGGCTGTGAAAAGAATCGGAAGGATGGTAAGAGGAATGACGAGCACGAGGATTAAGAGGCGGCAGACGAGACATATGATAGGACAAAGTAAGTCGCCGAGGAGGACAAGGAAATCAACGAGAAATTAAAAAGGAGAGAGGGAGTGACAGGAGGAGGATAGGAAAATCAAGGACAAGGAACACGGGGAGGTCAAAGGGTCAAGGAGCTGCGAGTCGAGGGAGGGGGACGAGACGAGCGGGAGATCGAGGTCGAGGACGGGGAAGCGACGGATGACTTGGAATTGCTCTGCATCCACATCCTCTCTTCCTGCCCTTCCATGCCCATTACCGCCTCCCTCTCGCTCCTCACCCTTCGGCGTCCCCGTTCCCCTTGCCATCCTCCCCCCTGTCGTTCTCGGTGATCCGCCTCCTCGCTGCCTCTTTCCCATTTCTCCTCGACCTCGCCCAGCCCCGCTCCTCGTCTTTCAAAATCCTCTGCTCTCTTCCGTTTTCTCCCCCGACTCCCCGTCCCTTTCGCCCACGCACCCCTCGCCCGCCCCATCCCGCTTTCCACAATCATACAGTATGAATACTGCTGTCCTCTCTCCCATGACTCTGTGCGGAAGATGCTCCGCCCTCTCAGCGTACTGTTGTTTACATTCAGACTTGGTCAACAGTAATAGTGCCTATGTTTGTTGTGCAATCCGATTGTCCTGGGTGTTTCATAGTGGGGCTCCCGCTGCAGCGTGGGCAACATATTCAGCTTTGCTCCAGTCGTCCAGAATGGCTCTCTCGCCCAAGCGTGGGCCACTTTTCTGGATCCGCGTTCTTCATCATCGTTGTCGCGCCCCTTCTTCCCCCTCCTCTGTCATCCTTTTGTTCTCATGCTCCTGCCGCCTTCTGCTCCAATTCCCGCTGCTGCTGTTCGTCCTCGTCGTCGTCGTCCTCCTCCTCCTTCCTCATCCTCCCTCTTTTCTTCTTGCTCAGCTCCTCCGCCTTCGCCTGGTCCTCCTGCTCCTTCATGCTCCTTCCGCTCCGTCCACTCCAGTTCGTCCTCCGCCGTCCTTCCTCCTCGTCCTCCTTCTCCTCCTGCTCATCCTCTTGCTCGCCCGCCACCTCCTCCTCCTCCTTAATCTTTGTGTGCAGCTCTCCTTTTTTTCCGAGTGCGCATAACTCGACGGGGAACTGTTTTTTTGTTTTCGGTCGGCGGTGACACGCGTCCGCGGACAGAGAACAAGTCAGCGCAATGGAAAGGGATGGGAGGGAGGGATAGGATGTGAGATATGGCGCGAGCGCACCTGGCTTGCCTCACCCCCCTCTGCCGCCCCCACCATCCTCCCCGGGACACCACCCCATGACGTCCGACGCCGTGAGCAAGAAGCACACCCCACCCGCGGAAACACACCGCGAGGTGACCGCCCGTCCAACCTCCACGCCGAGCTGCCGTGCGTGAGGAGGGCCACGCGGCGGCCCGGAAAGGTGGCAGAACGCCCGCGGCGACTGGGGGGACAAGACGATACCGAGCCCGCTGCCCCCAAGAGCCTCTTCTGGGGTGCGCCATGACCTAGGGCTTCGAGGCAGAGCCAACCGTGGCGAGAGAGGAAGGGCAGCGGTATGGGCATCTTCCGCTTCTGGCCGGCTCTCTCTCCCTCCGCGACGCACGGACGCTGAGCGGGGCCTTCTGTCTTTCTCTCCCTCCCTCCGCGACGCCCGGACGCGACGCCCTGGCTGCCTCGGCGCCCGCGTTCCCCTTTTCTTCTCGCTCTGCCCGCCCAGGGCACGCGCGGGGGGCACGGCCCCATCCAGGGCCCCCCGCAATCCGAGCCACTGCGGATCCCGCCTCCGAGTGGGCTTGCGCGCGCCGCGGCTCCGCGCTGCAGAACGGCCACGAGCAGGAGCGACCTCTGGTGCGCGGCTTTCGGAAGCCGCCGAAGAGGCCGACAACGCGCAGGCCAGTCCGTGGGCGTGAGACACATCCGTGTCCACGGCCTCGCGGGCCGGGCCCCTGGGCCGCGGATGCCACGCGCAGAGCGTAATCGTGCGACCGCGTATCCGCGGGATCGCGCCCCAGAATCCAGACCGCGAGGGCGGGGACACAGATGCGTTCGCCACTCGTGACCAGCGCGGGGAGGACGCCCGAGGGGGGCCCGCGCGGAAGGTCCGTCCGGCGAAGGTCCCCTCCGCGTAGCCGTTGCAGAGCGGGGGCTGGCCGATGGTCTGGGGCGCTTGCCCCAGGGGCTCCTCGGCCAGCTCACGGCGGTCGTCCGTGCTACTTGGCTTCCATCCACGTCGCCACCACCTTCGCGTCCACGGGCAACGGCACCTTCATCTCCCAGCCGTCGAGGAACGGCCGCTCCATGACGTCTTTGACAACCAGGAGCGCGGCGTCGGCATTCTCGGCGGGGCCCTCGAAGATGAGCTCATCGTGGATCTGCAGCACCATCTGGTACCCCAGGCGTCGCAGCTCGCTGCTCCGGTGGGCCTTGATTTCGGGGGGCCCTGGGGGTCTGAGCTGGTAGGCCCCGAGAAAATTGGCCAGGGGGGAATCAAGGCAAATCCGCTCAAAATCCACTCAGACCCCTCCCAAAATACCCTGGATCCGGTTCTGTCGGTCCCGCGGCCCGAAAACGGCCCCTGGAGACCGACGAAGGCAAACAACCTGCCCGAACCCAGAATCTCGAAGCTTGTCCCCATTTCCAGCTGGGCCACCTCAGACCCCCAGCCGACTCCAAGCCTTGATCATCGCCTCGACGACGATGTCCGCCGAGCCGCCCTGGATCGGCGCGTTGGTGGCCTGACGCTTCGCGGAGTTGGCGCGTTTCCACTCCTGCAGGTCCTGTGCTAACCGCCGAAGGGCACAACAAAAAGGCGGCCGCCAGCCGTGCTGCCTGCCTGCCGGGGTTTGCGAAGCCCTTCCCAGACCTGCTCCGACGATACGATGTTTTCAATCCCAACATGTTTCCCCACCTGACAGGTTGGTGTCGCTAGATTTCAAGAACTGACTTCTCGGCCCGACCACCATGCATATTGCGGCCACCAGATCCTCAGGTTCACCGAGAATCCCTCGAGACGCCTGCCTCGCGCCGACTCGGCCATTCTGTACACCGCGGCCGCCAGATCCCCAGGTCCACCGAGAATCTCCCGAGACGCCCGCTTTGCGCCGACCCGGCTAATCTTCAGCATACCACGGCCGCCAAATCCCCAGGTCCACCGAGTATCCCCCGAGCCGCCCGCCTCGCGCCGACGACGAACACGACCGAGCCTGACAGAACTGAACAGAACATAACATGATAGAGCATAACATAACATACGGAAACATGACATAACAGAAAACAACATAACACAGCATCACACAACATAGCTTCAAATGACAATACTATTGCATACCAGGGCATGCTACTACAGAGCGGATCATACAGAACACCGCATAAGATCACACAAACTAGCATATCATATCACGCCACGCACGCAATGACAGAGCGGATCATACACACCACATCATAACGCAACACATCACAGTCTAGCACCACATAGCATAACATAGCATAACATACCATATCGTAACGCAGCATGCCACGCAGTAACATACCATGACAACGAATGCAATGTCAGAACGCAACGTAACATGTGATTACACAACATAGCATAACATTACAGCGCAGCGCGGCAGGACATATCGCACGGCACAATGTCGGAACAAATCATGGCAACACACAACAGATCTGCGCATGGTATGGCATAGCAGATCATCAGCATCATAGTCTAACACGACCCAACAAAACAGAGCGTAGTTGACCACTACATACCATAGCTTGACATCGCATAACATGACTTTATCGTACATGCCATAACTGATCACAACAATAACTACGATGGCATACTATAACGAAACACAACAGCATCACAGGACATACCATTCCGTAGCATGACAAAACACATCATGACAGCGCGCGGAAGCACATGGTATGGAGTATCAGAGCATACCATTTCATAGCAGAGCATACTAGAGCATGCCATGGCGAAACGTATCATGAATCGACCAGCATTTAACATAACAACGCAACGACAGCAACCCATCTGCAACAATGTTAAATAATTCATTGCATTGCAGAGGTATACCTTGACATCGCAATGTATAGCATAACATACGGGGCATAGCATGACGTAACGTGAATAGCATCACACTCATCACACTTGAACATAACCTGACAGAACAGTTCCTGTCATAGCACGGTGCCACAGGGCGGAGCATACCATCACATATCAAAGCATACCATCACAGAAGTGAGCATACCAGAGCATACTTTAAGGAAGGGGAACATATATGAATAGGGACATCTCAACCTAACATAGTGTACATAATCAAATGCGACGTGCGCGCCGAGGTCAGACTGGTCAGAGGTACAATCATGCGCAACAGCGAGCGATGAGGCGATGCATCTATCGTGACTAGCGTCATGACGTCACGCCAGCCCATCGAAAACAGTACTGTACAGACATAATAGAGCACAACCAACTGTAACATGACCAAATCACCATACTATAACGAATAGGGCCTACCGTAGCCAGCAACACCTATCATAAGTGTTGTACTACTGCGACCCCTACGTCGACGATTCGGATCTCACACTGTTGGCTATAACGTCATGGGAGAGGCATGCCATAGCAGAGCATATTAAAACACACAGTAGCGAACTGCGAATAACATGAACATCATCACACATACTAGCATAACCTGACATAGGCTAACCTGGCAGCAGATACGTATCATGCATAACGTGGTGCCACAGAGCAGAGCATATCATAGCATGGCCAATCATACAATGACAGAGGTAAGCATAACAGAGCATGCTGCAACAGAAGAGAAACACAAGCTTGAAGAGGAACGTCATAAAATAATAGGCCGTACCATTACACAATCAAACGCGACGTGCGCGGCGAGGTCAGCCTGGCCACAGGTACAAACAGGCGCAACAACGACTGATCTGGCGACGTATCATGACAGGCGGCACGACGTCAAGCCGTTCCGTCGACAGCAAAACATCTCGAGCATTCCATACGAGGAGGGGGAGGTAAGCAGCTAGTTCGGGCAACTCGCAACACGTGTTTTGGGGGCGGGTTTGCTGCTCCAGGGGCCTGTTCGGATTCGTTCGTCGGACGCCCTGGGGTTGTCAGACGTTCGGACAACGTCAGCTTGCGACCTGGCCTGGCCGCCGCGCTGGCCGAGACTGCGGGGCCCCGCGCACATCGTTCCAATAAGCGCACGTACTGGTGGGAACAAATGCCGAAAGTCTCGGTGGGAATCGCTCGAAGCAAAATATGTGTAGATATCGGACTTTAGTCGAGGCACTGGGGGCAGAGTTACACGTAAATTATTCCCCTTGGTCCAGTGCCTGGGAAATGATACCCTCCTCTGTCCCCTCCTCTTCCCCAGACCTCCAACGTCACTGCTTCTGCCCGCGACGCAAGCTCATGGAGCTCTCGAGGCCTCATCCCCACGGGACCTGGCTTCCGCCTCAGGTCGATGGCACCAGCAGGGCCCGAAGACGGCCCCCAGAGGAGCCCCAGACTGCAAGGAGGGACGCCCGTTGTCGCTTCTGCTCGACGCCCAGAGGCCTACGGTCAGTCCTTGCGTAGCGTGTCGTGGCGGCGGTCCCGACGACAGATTATACCCTGCAAGCGGGTAGCGTGTCGATCCGCTCCGCGGGGCGGGATGCTCGGAAAAGAACAGGAAGGTGACGTCTGGGGACTGGGACGTGGATAGCGTGTCTCGCCGAAGCGTGGTGGGCCAGATAGAACCGACGGCACGACACGCTAAGCCAAGTTCCTGACCGTATCGGGCTCCGGGTTCATCAAACATGGATCCAGGACGGAAAAGGGTCCCTGAGGAAGGGGTCGGGAGGTCTGGGGGGCTCGGAATGTTAGCAAATGGTTTCGGGAGATGTCGGGGTGGCAATCGCGAGCCTGAACAATGCGCCATTCCGTTGAGGTGCAGTGATCCCCCTGTTTCTGGAGTTGCGATCGAAGAACGAAGGGGCTTTGCTGGCCACGGCGAGCCTCAGCCACGAAAAAGTTCCCTGGCCTGGATCTCCAAGGAACGGACCAGAAGCCAAGACCCTTCATCTGAGCCCCAAATTGTACTTTTTGAGCGTCTTGGCTGTATCCGCTGCAATTGGATGCTCGAGCGTGCTCGTTTCCCTAGCAATTAGAATACCTGCGCGAGGCATGCCACCAACCAAATGCACAACGTTTGTCTAGGGTGCATGCATCTGTCACCCGTCTTGGATGGGACGCATATCGACGTATACAACCCAAAATGGGGCAAGATACCGTTTTGGAAGCGAGACCCTGGACGGTCTAATTATGCAAGCTCTTCTCTCTCTTCTCGCACAGGGTCTCCACCCTGCCGGGGGGTCTCAAGAAGTCCAGGACTTCACTCAAATTCGCGCAGCTGGCCTCACACGCATGCTACCAAGCAACGAATTGAATACAACTTCTAGTTGAGCCGAGCCCGACAATATCGGACCCCCCACCGACCCACACAGACAAACACGTGTACATCGTGCGATGGCACCAGTAATCTAAGCACACCGGGCAAATTCCAACCACTTGTATTAGCTGGGCATGGATAGACAGCGTGATGTCGGTGGGCATGGTCAAACGGTGGCGAGTGCGGTGACCCCCAGGGAAGATTCAGGATAGCTCAGACATGGCCGCGATGGTGTCCCCTCAAACAAATATCTTGGCGAAAGACCCAACCATATGCAATTGCAACTACCGCGTTGTGGGCACCGCTTTCGGTGGAACTCCCAATGGAGCCACGAAACGCGTGAGGGGTATGTCCAAATAGGCGGGCAATCGAATGTGGACCATGCCACTGGGGCCTTCGGTGGAGCTCCCTATGGGGCCACGGAGCGTCTGAGGGTGTGTCCACATGTGCAGGGAACGGAATGTGGATCCTGCCCCTGGGGCCTTCGGTGGAGCCCCCTTATGGGGACACAAAACGTGTGAGGGGGCGTGCTGAGATGGTGTGGGAAACCGCATGTGGACCCTGCCGCTGGGGCCTTCGGTGAAACTCTTATGGGGCCACGAGGCGTGTGAGGGGCGTGCCGAAATGAGACTGGTGCGGAGGGCATAGGCGAAGATGCAAGGAGGGAGGAGGGAGAGGAGGGAGGAGGTGAGACGCGGGGCGCTGTCTCTTCAGAAAGAGGACCCAGCACCACAGGATGGCTGGGACAACCAGGGCTCCAAGGGGGGCTCGAAGACGGCCCGACGACGAGCACACACAAGGGCCTCGTGCGCGATTCGCCCCCAAAAGGTCTCAGGAAGGCCCACAGACGGGCCCCAGGAGGACCCCGAGAGCCCACCCAAAAGAACCTGCCACGCGGGGGTCACTTGGTAAGTTCCGATGGTGGGCCCATGGGGGGCGCTGGTGAGGCCCTTTTCCCATGCACCGAGGGTGTATGACCCGATGATGCCCCAGGAGAATACCAAAAGGGCGCAAAAATGGGACCCAAGAAAGACCGTACGGGAACCTACCGCAAAATTGTCCCTCAGCTGGTTCCAATGGGTGCCGACTTGGAGAACTCTTGAGGCCTTCTCCAAGCAACAGGGGTGCCAGAATGAGGCCCCAAGATGGCTCCGAGAAAGGCGCAAACTGACCCTGAGATGCCCCCCCAACGGAACCTACCACAAATGAGTCCCGTGGTAGGTTCATTGGGGGAAGGCTTGTGAGGTCACGCTTGAGGCCCTGAGGGAGCCTCAAGACTGCCTCAATGAGCCCCCAAGAGAGGCCCAAAGGAGTCCCAACGGAACCTACCACAAATGGCGTCCCTTGAAGTTCCGCTGGGGGCCCATGGGGGGCGCTCTTGAGACCCCCCCCCCCCGAAACCCCGAGGCTACCAAGGGACGCCGAGAGAAGTCTAAGAATCCCTCCCGCGTAACCTATAACAAGTGGGCCTTGGGTAGGTTCTACTGAGGGCCGGCTTGGAGAACTCGTGAGGCCTTCTCCGAGCACCAGGGGTGGCACAATGAGGCCACAATCGGGCCCCAAGATGGGCCCAAGGTGATCCTGAGACGGCCTCCAACAGAACCTGCCACAAAGGGGTCCCCTGGTAAGTTCTGTTGGGCACCTTCTTAGGACACGCTGATACTGTCCTGAAGCCCCTAGGATGCCCCAACGAGGCCTCAACACGGCATCGAAAGAGGTCCAAATGAGGACTCGACGGAGCCTGCGACAAAAGTGTCCCGTAGCAGGCTCCGTTGGGGGTTCTCTTGGGGCACTCGTGACGCCATCCCCCGAGAGCCCCAGGGTGCCCAAATTAGACCCCAGGAGGGCCACAGCAAGGGCCCAAACGTAACCTATATTTCATTTTCTCGCGTCGATACTTAAATGCTTTCTGCAATGCTCACTCTGCGCCCTGCTACGCCCTACACCCCCTGTGCCCTCTATATTATCCACCGTCTACCGTCAACTGTCTGCTGTGCCTGCACTCTCGTGGATCTTGGAGCCTGGCCGCCTCTGGGAACCCAAGAACCCAACCGCCCGCCGAAGTCTGCCCGCAACTTTCCCGCGACCAGCCTGAGCGTCCTCAATATGGATCAACCGAGCCTGCCACAAACGGCTTTGAGACGCCGACGGGCCCCTTGCGGGCTCCCTAGACGCCCACAAGAAGGCACGAAGAGGCTCCCAAGAGGCCCGGAGTCCCCAGAAAGCCTCCAGGATGAGGAAGATGGGGAAATAGGGCTGCGGACAAGAGGGATTGTTTCGGACTGCGCGAATCCACAGGGGACTGAAGTGGTACGAGTTCGAAACTCAACCTCCTTCCTGCTGCTCGGCTGCGTAAGCGCGCGGGTGGGGAGGGGGTTTCGCAGGCAGCCGAATAAACTAGCGTAGCAAAGCTTGACACAGCGTAGCAGAGCGGACAGCATAGCATGGTACAGTATGCTGACGATCAGCATGGCACGGTGGAACACATCACGATGGGTCACTCTATAGAACACACGCAAGGCCATACCATACCGTTGCACAATGTGGCGAACCGAATCGTGACAGAACGCGGCCCAACAAAACATTGTCGCCGGTATTCGCATTCAACACAAGATGAGCGTTCGCATTACCGTCCGCGTTTTCATGAGCAGTCGTTGGATCATTCACACCAGCACGTGCGTGAACAATAACATGACCATCACCATCAAAACCTGCGTCGAACTTACGACAGGATACCAACGGATAGCATAGCAGAGTGCAGCGCGACCTTCGTTGCCAAGAACCACAAAGCACAAATGTGGTCGCACTTCAGAATATAGCATGGCCATTTAAAAAACACAGCGTAGCCCTGTATTCTACAAACGGCACACCAGCCTCCAAGCTGTGAGCGCGAGGAGCGCGACTCTGGCAGGGCCGCGTACAGTTCGGGACGTCCCAGAGTCCTGGTCCCTGGACTCTGCGCTCTTTGACCACGCCCGCTTTCCCCGCGGCCTGAGGTGGGCCACGGGCAGCGGCCGCGGGCGACCCCTGAGAGTCCTGACGTACGCCAAGTCGCTTCCACTCTGCTCTGCCTGTCCGATGGCCTCCAACTTCACATTCTCCTGCCAAGTCCTGACCTCTGGGTAAGCCTCGTACCACTTGGCGATCATCTGCTTGGCTTCCTCCAAGTCGCAATTCAGATTTAGAGACAAGCCGTGTTCCGTCATACCGTACGCGATCCCGAAATTGACAGCCTTCGCACAGCGCCGCTCAGATCCGAAAACGTCCTTCAGCAACGGGACTCCCCCGCCACCATTGAGGCACACCTCTTTTCTGTCGACCGCTGCCTTCACGTGCGAGTACATGTTTAGAGCTGTCGCCGAGTGTATGTCAATGCCAGAGCACAAAGCATGGATCATCTGCTTGCTCCCTGACATGTGTGCCAATACCCTCAGCTCCAGCTGACCGTAGTCGGCAACTATGAAGAGGCGGTCGTCTGCGCACTTCACTGCCTGGCGGATCTTGTATACGTCCTTGTCCAGCGCCGGAAGCTGCTGAAGATTCGGCTCGGAAGAAGCCAAGCGCCCTGTATTAGTATTAAGTTTCAGCGAGGTGTGCACGCGTCCTTGCCTGTCCACGTGCTTCTGCAGAGGCAAGAGGAACGTGTTAATGTTCTTTTCGATATCTTTTGCCTTGTTGATCATAGAGAGACCAGTGCAACCGCGCACACCGAGGAACGGCAAGGCTGTGCCACAGCCCTGCTCCCCGCTCTCTGGATTGCTACCCGACAGCTTCAATATGGTTTCGCCTGAGAGAGACAAGCCCCCCGTAGCAGTCCGAGTGCGGCACAATGTTTCTGGAAGCCTGTGGAGCAATCAAAATGGACACCAACACTGCCTCCCTCTCCCCTTCCTCCCTCCACCCTTCTCTTTCCGCCTCTCCTCCTGCTTCCTGGGGAGGAGAGGCGGGAGGGGAGGTAAGACTGGTGGTTTATACATTTCGGTACTCCAGAAAGCCCGAGCCCGCCGATAGCCGTCGATCCAAATGTCTCCACGCCCTTTCCAAACAGCAGATGCTGCATCTGTCGGGAGCTTTGTAGATTAATTTGTTCGGGGGCGTTCTGCAACTCCTGCTTGCTTGGGTACTTTTCCAGGTACTCCGCCCGAATCCATTCCTGGAAACGTTTGTGGCACAGGTCGACATCTTGCCGGGCACGCCGCTCCTGCTCTTGAAGCTGCGCGGTGTCGATGGGGATGCCGCAAGCCTCGATGTCCACGAGCACCTTCTCGAGCAGTGTCAAAACACCGCGACCGCATGCTCTTCTCCCTCGCATGTGTGTGTGTGTGTGTGAGTCTGTGCATGCGCGTGTGGAGGTGATTGTGTGCGCCTGTGTGAGAGTGTTGACGCCAGTTTGTTCTGCCCTAGGCTCGCCAGTTCGCGCTTTCGAGAGTTTGGGTCTTGCCACGCGCTTCACAAGGACGTGGACTCGAGTTGTTAATACCCCGACAATTGTCAGCGCTGGCTGGACCTCACTGGCGCGTCGGAGGGAACAACTGTGCGTACGCAGGCATACTGAAGGATTCGTGAGGGAGCAACGTCAAGGACGACTGCGTGCTGCTTGGAGATTAGGGAAACCCACGATGGTGCCGTCGGGATCTCCCCAGAGGCCCTGCCAGAGCACACGCAATGGAAAGGTCGAGTGCCCACCCGCATTTTTCAGAGCGAGGGGGCGCCCGAATGGTCTCAAAGTATCCCTGCGCGCTGGTGCTTGGAGTGGGCAGCGACCACGCCAGGGGGTAAGCTGACAAGGCACGCAAAAAACGGGACGCTGAGAGACTGCCCATGCCCACTTCGCCTCCTTCAGAAGAGCCATAATCGCAAGCCCCCATTCCTCTCCGAGGTGGGCCGACAGGAGGGCGACAATGACCTGGAGCGGCGACACGTCGCCGATAGATCACCGGTAAACACCCGATAGCGAAACAGCATGTTCACAGGCGGGGAGGAGGGGGGGCCCAGGCCATGATCGGCGCTGCATGGGCGATTGGGGGTCGATGCTCCCCCCCCCCGGGCCAGTCCCCTGCTGTCGTTGCCCCTGACTCCCCCTCGCCTGACAGGCCCCCCTTGCTCTCACCGCAACTGCAAGGCTCCACGCGCAGTCAAAACTTATCTGAAGGACGCGCGGTAAGGACGCAAGACCCTTGGACGCCCAGGGCAACCATCCTGTGGTGTTGGGTCCTCGTTTCGAAGAGACAACGCCCCACGTTTCCCCCCTCCGTCCTCCTCCTCCTCCTCCTCCTCCTTCTCTTCCTCCTCCTCCTGCTCCTCCTCCTCCTCCTCCTCCTGCTCCTCCTCCTCCACCCTCATCCCATCCCTGCCTCTGCTCCTCACATCCATCTACAACGTCGGCACACCCGTCACACGTTTCGTGGCCCCGTAAGGAGCTCCACCGAAGGTCCCGCTGCTGCCGCCCGCATGCGTCCGCATCCCCATCACCCAGCACAACGTTTGTGGCCCCACAGGGAGATCCACCAAGGTACCAGGGCTACCGCCCGCATGCGCCCCCACCACCCACCACACCAGGCCCCATGGGGAGCTCCACCGACGGCCGCAGTGCCACCGCCCGCATGCGCCCCGCCCACCCAGCGCAGCGCTTCGTGGCCTCATAAGGAACTCCGCCGACGGCCCCACCGCTACCGCCCGCGCGCGCCCACCCTCACCCAGTACAGCGCGTCGTGGCCTCATAGGTAGCTCCACCGAAGGTTCCAGTGGCGCCGTCCGCATGCGTCTCCCCTACCCAATACAACGTTTCGTGGTGCCATAAGGAGCTTCACCGAACGCCCCCGTGGCACCGTCCGCATGCTTTCCCCTTGCCCCGCGCAGTGCTTCGAGGCCCCATACCGGCGCGCGCGCGAAAAAAACTACCATCCGCGCGCGATGATATGTTGAGACCACACGCAAGAGAGCGACGCCCGAATGCTTCTCCGAGAAGTCCGCACGGACGGCACTATAGTTTTGACCGGATCTTTGAAGTCGCCAGAACAAACGCCGCGCCGGCCCCCCACCCCCTACCACTCTGATGCAAATCTGAAGAGACCGACGAGAGACGACAACAATGGACCCCATCGGTGACGTCGTCGCGTCGCTTAGTTACTCAGCTTTGCATCGCTGGGGGGGGCGGGGGCGCGCGGGCTGCGCGTTCGCTCTGGCGCGGCGACAGATTCGGCGACCACCGCATGGGCGCGCCGTGGCACTTCCGCCTCGATCGCTTCCCGAACGGCGCAATCTGGGGCAGCGCGGTCAGAAATTGTCGTACCCGGCAAGGGCCAAGACTGTCCGCGGTGCCACGAAAGCCTCGCGGGTGGGAAAAGTGCAAGGGGCGGAGATCTGGCTCGGCGGCTCAATTCTGCGCGGTCGTTTTTAACTCACGCCCCGGTAGGGAGCTCCACCGACGACCCCCGTGGCACCGTCCGCATGCGTTTCCCCCACCCAGTACAGCACTACTTGGCCCCATACATCGGCGCCCCGAAAGTTTATTCCGATTTGAGAGGCGCGGCGCCGCGCGAATGCAGCGCAAACGCTATGCGGGGAGGGCGCGGGATTGCATGCCCCCTGGACAGGCGAGAGCAGCCGCGCCCCCGGGCGAACCCCGATGCCGCACGGGGCGCGCTCCCGTTGACAATGGCTCACCTGGAAAACCGTTTCTTGCGCGGCAAGTCCTGGGCAGTCTGCCCATCGGCGGTTCCTTCGGACGAGGCCCGGAACAACCAAGAAACCGTTTTTGATCGGAAGTTCTAGGCGGTTTGCCCATGTTCGGTTTCTTCGGGGTGGGTCCAAGGACCTCGAGAACGACGCTTTTGCGAAGAATCCTAAAGGGTTTGCACACTTTCGGGTCGTTCGAACCGGACCCGGATTTTTGGTTGGGCGCAAGTCCCATGGGATCTGGCCACATTCAGGTCGGCCGGTAAACTTTTTTCGGGTCGTCGCATGACCGAACCCGGAAGCTTTTTCGCGGAGGTCCTATGCCGTTTGCTCATTTTCGGGTCAGTACACCGTTTGGGATTTAAAATCTGAAACTGGGGAAAGGGAGCCCGATCCCACGACCCCGGGCGGGGGGTAGGCTCTGCCCTTGCATTGTACTGGGTCCCTCCGGCCAAACGGGGTGCTGGGCTGCCCATCGGCGCGCCGACTCTGCCCTCGCGACATCGCCCCCGTCCGCCCTCGGGCCCCGCGAGTCTTATCCTGCGCGCGCCACCCCAGATGGCCGCGGCGAGCACGGTGGCGAAATTGGGGAAACTTTCGGATCGGCGCAGTAGGGGGCCCCACCGAAGGCTCTAGTGGCACCGTCCGCAGGCGTCTCCCCCACCCAGGACAGCGTTTCTTGGCACCATAGGGGGCTCCACCGACGGCCCCCCCTGTTCCGTCCGCGTGCGTCTCCCCCACGCAGTACAACGCTTCATGGCCCCAAAGGGAGCTCCACCGAAGGTACCAGTGCTACCGCCCGCATGCGCTTCCCATACCCAATAGAAGTCTTCGTGGCCCCAAAGGGAGCTCCACCGAAGGCCCCACTAGCACTGTCCGCATGCTGCCCCCCCACCCAGTACAACGTTTCGTGGCCACATAGAGAGTTCCACAGAATACCCCAGTGGCAAAGTCCACATGCATTCCCCCAACCAGTACAGCGTTTCGTGGCCCCATAGGGAGCTCCACCGAAGGCCCAGTGGCAAAGTCCTCATGCATTTTCCCCCCCATTACAGCGTTTTGTGGCCCATAGGGAGCTCCACCGAAGACGATACACACAACTGCGGTACGCACAACTGCATATGGTTGGGTCCTTCGCCAGGCTCATTTTGAGCGGCGGCCGGCAACAATCCAAAAGACGCACGGGTGCCCGAACTGACCTCCGTCCTTGCCGAGTGGGCGTCAGGACCTAAAGTAAGAACATTGCGAAGACGCGGGTGCTACCCTCAAATTCGGCTGGTTCCTCTGGTCACTCACTCGGCCTCCGACCTCTGCAAAAGGTCTCCAGTATGTCTCGTAGAAATCGAGCATGCAGCCGCCGTGCCAGGGCATGCGCCTCAGCCTGCGCTCCAAGCACTCGTGGAGCTTCCACGTCGCAACCGTGTCGAATGTAGAATAGTCGATCCACTCCTGGGCAACACCCACTACTTGGCTATGCTGGCAAGTGTGTCGGAGCAGGGGCCCAAACCTCCATCGCATCGAAGCAAAACAATCCGATGTGTTTCGTCGTGCTCGTCCTCCAGGGGCCCTCGACGGTCCCTCGACGGGCCCCAGAAATCGGCACCTAGCGACTCAAGATGAAAAACCGACCCTCGGGAAAGAGTCGGGACTTCCCGGGACCCCGTACTGGAAACATCTACCTATCGGATCTCTGGGGTTGCTTCCTCCAACGCCACTCCGATCCTGCTGAACACAGGGCGGTACACTCCCCAAGAGCGACAAGAGGAGAGGGCATTAGGCATGGTGAATGCATTACAGAGCCAGGCGGCCAGACTCCTCCCTCACTTCGTCTTTGGGGCTCAAGTGCAGGTCGTCTACGGACCTCAACTTCTCCTCTGCCATGAACTCCCTGAGAGCTCGCTTGCGCCACGCCTCTCCCAGCAGCTCCTCGCCCAGACCCTCCAGCGAGTAGACCTGCCTGTCCGAGTGCTCCAAGCGGGCCATGTGCATAGTGTCCCCTGCGAAGCCAGCTACCGATAGACCCTCGTTCACGAACATTGCCCGGTCGAAGGCGTAGTTGTGAAACACCTTTCGGATCTTGGGATTTTCAAAGTAATCGCGGAAGCGCCACAACAAGTCTCGACTGTGGCCGTTCTCGCAAAGGTTGTCGACCCACAAGCGAGGTCCATCTCCGAAGTCCACGTCGTCACCGCAATACACAGAGAAACAGATCACCTTCGGTGGCAACTCATGTGAGCCTCACGTACCATCTTGTCTGCTCTTGCAAATCGACGCTATTCGACGCTAGTCGATACTAAATCGACGCTAGCCGACATTAAATCGGCGCTATCTCGTCGACTTCCAGACGCTAATTTACGCTAACCGACGCTGACGACGGAATTAAAAGGGTGTACCAGACTCCAATGATTAGCTACCGAATATCACCTCGCCGTTCCCGTAGGGCGTCTGCCCAGGCGACCAGCCCCTCACCTCGGTGTCCACGGCGTGGATGCGATCTGTCAGCGAACACAGCTTCTCCACGGCGGCCGCCGCCTGGTCCACCGTGCGTACGACGGTCGTGCCCCTGGTGGCCGCCACGGGGTCCGCCTTCTGCCAGGGATCGACCTAAACAATGTGTTTCGGGTTCGTTGTGTTTCCGTTTTCCCTCGTTTCATCTCCAAGTCGCCGTTGCTGCAAAACGAATCGACACGACAACGGCCCACGAAATCGCCAAAACACCGTTTAGGTCGACCCCTGCCCCAGGCCCCGCCCCCCCGCTGCCGCGGCAGCTCCTTTGGGGGCGCCGAGGCGGTACGGTCACAGACCCGCGTGGTGACCTCGAAATCCCGAAAGAGCGGTCTCCTGAATTCAAAATTTCGACAGGGCTCTAGCGAGCAACGCAACCAGATGCAGGCGTTGGTACAGCAATGCAGGCGAAACGAAGGAAGGGGAACCCATGATGCCAAAAGCGTGTGATGGGTGTGCCAAAATTGGGCAGTGCTGCCATGCGGGCGCTTGGCGCTGGCCCCGTTCGTGGAGCTGCCCATGGGGCCACTGAACGCGCGAAGGGTGCGCCAGAATCAGACGGTGTTGCCATGCGTGCGCTGCCACTGGGGCGTGGAGCTCCCCATGGAGCCACGAAGCGTGCGAGAGGTGTCCCAAAATCGGCGCGGTGCCGCCATGCGGGCCTTGCCGATGCGGCGTTCGGTGGAGCCCCCCTATGCGGCCGCGAAACGTGTGAGGGGTGTGCCAACCTGGGTGTGGCGACGTCATGCGAACGCAGCTAGTGGAGACTTCGGCGGAGCATCCGACGGGGCCAATGTGTGAGTGCGTGTGAACGGACATGGGTGCGGCGACGCCATGCGAACGCAGCCACTGGGGCCGTCGGGGGGGCCTCCATATGGGGCCACAATGCCAATATGGCCTTCGGCGGAACTGTATGTGAGGCCACGAAACGTGCAAACCGTGTGTGCCGAAATGGGCGCGGCGACGCCATGCGAACACAACCAGTGGGGCCTTCGGCGGAACTCTGCATCGGGCAACGGATCCAATCTTTTAGAGAAGAAGCATTGAGTGGCAAAAACCGTTTTGAAAAAAGGACGACGTGCACACATGCCGAAATCATTCAAACACCACAAATTGCGTAAGGACTTCAAAGTGGAGGTTCCCGGCCACAGATCAAAACCATTGGTGTTGCATCATGATGTTTCCAAGAAGCCTGCGCGCTTGCTCGTGCGACTTATCGAAAGAAACATGCGTGTCCAAGCTTTTTGTCACATGCAACCAAGCGGGCCTCCCGCGCGCGCATGTCGAACACATTCGAGAGCCCTTTCGCGCGTGCGGGGTGGGGGGGCGGGCGATCCAGTCAAATAGTACTATACGGGTCACTAGCGCCCGTCGACCGCGAGCGCGCGCATGTCGAAATCCTTCCACAACCGTCGTTACCGACAAGTGGCCACCATCGTCATCGGCATGATCAGCATCGGCGCCGTGCGTGGCCTTGCCGTATTGATCGACATCGCCGTCACCAGCATCGCTACTACCACCAACGTGCCTACCGTTGCTGATGTCGCCATGGTGCCGCGCCCGGCCGAATCCCCGAGTCGCACTGAAGTGCCCGCGCGTCAGTGCGGCCTACGAGACGAGCTGGGGAATCCCCAACGGTCAACGCCACCGCGGCCGCGTTGGTCGCGCCGTTCTGGCAGGCCGTTCTGCGCGCGAGCCTGCGCACGCAAGCGCGGCCGCACCGATGCGCCAACCAGCGCCAAGCAATCATCGCAATCGCCGCCGCGTGGGTTTTGAAAACCAAGTTTCGGGTGAATGTGTGAGGTGGATGCGCAAACAATGGAGTTGACAATCTCAAGTTTGGCAGGCTGAATTGCACCACGTAGGCTGCACAACATTGATTGCACAACCCAGGTTGCGCAACATAAGTGGCACAACCTAAACAGCACTCCTTGAAGTTTGGTGTGCAGGCGGAATAGCAGGAAGGTCAAGCCGACAATTTAGCGATAACTCCTTGTTGCCTTTTCTGACATCACCGCTATGATAATGTTATTCGTTATCCTTCCTCCATGCTTATGTTTTTTTCATTGTCGCCATACCCTGCGCATTCTCCCCATCCTCCGCAGCTCTTTTTTGCGGAGGCTCCTCCTTGGAGAGCCTCTGGGGCCTCACAAAAGTTGTTTCAGGCTTTCTTAAGACCTTCTGGAGGCCTCCTGGGCGTATTCTGGGGGCTTCCTCGGGCCACCCTGCCTCCAACCGCGGTCTCCCTGAACGACCGGGTCACGATTTGGAATGCTTCGGAGGGTGTCTTGGGGCCATATTGGGCCGCCATGGGGCTCTCTGAGGGCCATCGTGGACCCGTGTTGTGCCGTTTTGGGGCTCTCTTGGACTGCCCGGAAGCCCTTTCGGATGGTTGTGGGGCGATTTGGGAGCCTCCCAAGCGGCTTCGGACGCCCAGAAGACCGCCGTCCTGGAGCGTCGGGAAGCCGAAAAGAGGAGAACCCGCTAAATTCACCAAAAACCAACAGAAAATCAATGAATTGTTGCCTCTTGGGGCCTTCTTGGGAGTGCTCTTGAAGGCCTCTTTGGGACCGTCCTGGAGGCCTCTTGGGCCATCTGGAGGTCACGTCGGTCACTCTTGGAGCGTTCTTGTGCTGTCTTGGGCGTCTCTGGGACGTCTCCGATGACCCCCCTGACCGCCTTAGGTGTGCTGGGAAGGCTTGGCAAAACGCCCTGCGAGGCCCGGGGGGCCGCTTCCAGGCCCGTCCAAAGGGTCCCAAAGCCCCAGATCCCGGGAGTCCGGTTGTGTGTGTGTGTGTGGGACCCCTTTTTCGCGTTCCGCCCGGATTGTAAAAATAAGTAAGAGGGAATATCTTTCTTTCTCTCTCTCTCTCTCTCTCTCTCTCTCTCTCTATATATATACATATATATACACATGTATATATATGTGCATATCTACATACACATATTTATATATGTATATGTATATATATATATATACATATATACATATATATAGATGTGCACATACATATGCATATACGTATACATATACATTTACATATACACACATGTAAATGTAATGATCGCCATAATCCGGCAACATAACACATGTGTTGTATGGGATTTCAAAATCGAATTTTCCGAAAACATATAAAGACACATGGTTCCCCAAGCAAGGTTTTCAGACAAGCATGCGCCCGCGCTCTTGTGAATACTTAAGAAAACCAGAAACTGTTTTTAGCATGTTCGTAAACTATCGTAAACTGCAGCCGAACGGTTCTTCGCGCGCGCATGTCGAAATCGCTCGAACACCCTAGAGCGCGTGCTGTCGCAAGAGCCCCTTGCAACGAACGGGGGGACGAGGTGCACACGCGCGCGTCGTCGCGCGCGCATGCCGAAATCCTTCAGCAACCCAGGATGTCTCAAGGATTTCAAGAACGAGTGCCCCAGAAACGTTGAAAAACTGAAGCTTCGCAACAAAATTGTTCAACAAAAAGCCTGCGCTCGCGGTATTGCGGATCTATTTCAACAGAAAAATCTACATCTTTTCAGCACTTTCATCACATTCTGCCAAACGGGCCTCTCACGCCGCATGTCGAACTCATACGAACGCCCTTGCGGGCGTGTTGGGGGGGCACGATCCGTGTCGAATAAGACAACGCCGGCCACTCGCGCGCGTCGGCCGCGCGCGTATCGAATTCTTTCAAAAACATTCATCATGGCCGACGCGAAGACATCGTCATCGTCATCGGCGGGCGTGATCAACATCGGCGCCGTCATTGGCCTTGCCGTCGTCATCGCCACCATCGTCACTATCATCGCTACTCTCATAATCGTGTCGACCGTTGTCGGCGTCGCCATGATACGCGCCCGCCCAAATCATCGAATCGCACTGAAGTGCCCGCTGGGAGATGCTCAGCGGTCAGTGCCACCGCGACCGCGTCGGTCGCGCCAAACTAGCTGGCCGCTGCGTGCGCGAGCATGCGCGGGCTAGCGCGGCTGGAGAGATGCACAAGTCAACGCCAAGCACTCATCGCAGCCGCGGCCGAATGGGTTTTGCAAACCAAATTGCGGGTGGGCGGGTGGGATGTTTGCGCGAGCGATGGAGCTATCAACTTCAAGTTCGGCAGGGTGAATTACACCACGTAGATTGTTCCACATCTATTACAAAACATAGGTTGCGCAACCTAGATTGCACCACATATACTGCACAGCACAGATTGTACAACATAGTTTGCTAAGTCACAATGTTTGTGGCACGCGCTGGCTAGTCTTTCCTGTTTATTGAATTCACAACCACCTGGCGAACATAGTTGTGAATATCGTCTTCGGTGGGGGCCCCTATGGGGCCACGAATCGTGTGAGTGGTGTGCCGAAGTGGTGAGGAGAAGCAATGCGGGCACTGGCACTGGGGCCTTAGGTGTAGCTCCCTCTGGGGCCACGAAACGTGCGAGGGATGCCCCGAAACGGTGTGGAGAAGGCATGTTGGCCCTGGAACTGGGGCCTTATGTGGACCCCCTCTGGGGACACGAAACGCGTGAGTGGTGCCCCCGAAACGGCAGGGAGAAGGCATGCAGATCATGGCGCCTGGGCCTTCGGTGGGGTTCTCTCTGGGGGGGCACGAAGCGTGCGAGGGGTGCACCGAAACGGTGGGTGTAGAGAAGGCATGCGGGCACTGGCACTGGTGCCTTAGGTCGTGTGAGGGCTTGCACCAGAGAAAACGTGGAGAAGGCATGAGGGCTCGTGCGCTGAGGCCTTATGTGGAGGTCCCTATGGGCCCACGAAGCGTGCGAAGGGTACAGCGGCGATATGTGAGGAGAAGGTATGCGGGCCCTGGGAGCTCTCTTTCTGGGGCCACGCAAGGTGTGAGGGTGTGCCCCGAAACTGTGTGGAGAAGGCATGCTGGCCCTGGCCCTGGGGCCTTAGGTGGGGCCCCAGTGCGCCGAAACGGTATGGAGAAGGCGTGCGGGCTGTGGCATTGGGGCCTTAGGTGGAGCCTCCCATGCGGCGACGGAACGTGTGAAGGGTGCGCCGCAATGGTGTGGATAAGGCATGCCGGCGCAACCACTGGGGCCAAAGTAGAGCTCCCTGTGGAAACG